ACATGCATATAAGATGATTTGTAATTCTTTCAAGGCAATGCATTGAAATTTTTGAAAAAACTTCAAATTGTAAGTGTTTGACTTATAATCATCTAAATCTATACTAATCACATAAATATTTCATTGTTTATATGCATGCACATATGAATCATGAAGCATTTGGACAAATCTTAAGGTGCTTATATTCAAGTCTAAAGACTTTGTAAATCATCAAATTGCCGAAACCTCTTGAAAGTTCATGTGAATATTAAAATGTTGAATTGCATATAAAGTTTCATTTTGAGCTTTAAAAATTTTGCCATATGTCTGCTTTGAATTGAAGTTGTAGATTCGGTGACAATGTTTGATTCCGAAAATATCATTGGAATATATGTATTCCGAAAATATCATTGGAATATATGTGTATATATATATATATCCAAGAATCTTTTAAAATTCTATATGTTTGCGGATTTGGTGGCAAATTTATTTAATATTTAATATTCAGACATTTGGCCTTTGATAAGTTAGCTTTTTAAAAGGGCTCAATTAATTTTTTTTTCTAACTTTTGAATGAGTTGTTGAATCACATAGTTAATCAAATTTGTTTTCAACTTTCATCATTATATTTTACTGGAAATAATGTGTATTTTATTTCAAATATTTATCTTTCAATTTACTTTTTTAGTTATTTTATCATGATATCTAATAGTCCAAATTTTAAGTCATTTTTAAAGGTCCAAATAGTCCGAAATAATTCAATTTTAAATAATTTTATAAGTTCAAAAATTTCACATTTTAAGTTATTTACGAGTTCAAGATCACCAAAGATTTTGACAGCCTACCGACGTTGTCCCCACTAAGGGGGCAACATCAGGGTGTTTGGCTTGCCTAGTTATCTATAAGACGTGTGATCAGTGTCATGAGATGTTGCGGCCTGGGAAATGGTCTTCAAACCTGTTGGTGTACGAGATGCATGTAGGCCTTCAAATAGCCTGCATGAAAATAATGTTAGCACAATTTTCCTGTATTTATAACTTTATTTGTGGGATGGTGAAACGGGATGACGATTTGTCACACAATATTTATCTTCTCATTTTCTTTTTTTTCTCTCGGTTACTGAGAATTGGAGAGAGAGAGAGAGCGCGAGATGAATTAGATCTTGTGCGACATTGTGGAGATGAGACTCGTGTGTCTTGGTTTGCGAACTAGATTGAATGGATGGCGAGAAGATGGGAGTTTTGGAGGTTTCAGCATGTCACGATCCAAGTGTTGCTTGTATGTATCGTTCAAGTGTTGGTCAAAAGGAGAAAGGGAGGCAAGAAGGGTTGTGTGTAGCTTGCGAGATGGAGGAAGGGAGATGAGAGTTTTGGAGGTCTTTTTATGTTGTGATCCTATCGTTGTTTCTCCGCTAGCAACAGTTATGATTGCATCATGAGGTAGATGGAGTAGAAAGAGAGAAAGATAGTAGTTTCGAATGTGTCTGTATGTAGTAATCCCATCATTCTTTTTTGCCGCTAGCTCTAGTTGTGAGCAAGTGTAGAGAGGAAAAAAACGCTAAAATGGAGACGAGCGAGTGTTTTTTATTGTTGTTTCGTGTGTGAAAGCAGAAACTAGGCCGAATATTAATCGTTTTAATGCCTGGGAGAAGATATTGTAGGGGCTTCATCCATACAGTTTGCGAGACGAATGAATGATATATGTGGCTCTGTTTTGTGAGTTATGACCAAAAGGGGAAGCAGGAACAATTATCAAATGTGACGTCTTTGAGTCTCACAGGAGCAGTTATAGCTTATTTTAATTAATTATTTTTTTATTCAGTTTTTATGTTCAACACCCACATCCTTCTCTCCGGATAGGAAAAACTTCTTATTTTTTTCTGAAAGGGCCTAGATCTCATTATTGGATGTTCTTTTCGACAAAACACTTGTCGAGATTTTCAAAGTAGCATCTCACCTCTTCTATCCGGTCATACATATGGGATAACATTGCTGAACTGAACTGAAATTTAATATTCAATTTGAACTGAAATTTAATATTCAATTTATTCTATAGAGTTTCAAAATGACTCAAACATTTGTCATTTCTATTCGAAGTGATTATATGTTGGACCTCCCTAAGTAGTGTCAACTTAGGAGGTAGGTGTAGGCTAGACATTCCTAAAATCCATTTAGCTGTGGTGGTCATGTGTGTGATATCGACTTCTTATACTAATTTTTGTCTTGGACAACAAACACTAATCCTGGTGGCGCTTATCTCATAGGCTTAAAGGACCCGTTGAATCAGTAGCATATTTCCATCATCTGTTGGAAGTTGGTACTCTTCTCTAACATCCTCATTCTCTCGTCAATGTCCATGTTTTTATGCTCCATGCTTCGCAAATGAGTTCCATTTTCCTATTTGGGTCATCTGATACAATGTGCTCAAATTCGTGGCACTGAACACACTTTCTGGCTGGGACGAATTTGAGAGTGATTACTGGTTGAACCCTGCTAATGTGTTGTCCCTCTACCTTTAGGGCTAAGGTCTAGACATCATGTAATGTCCAATAGGGTTATAAATGTATCAAATTGCTAATGAACAATCTTAACTCATTAGATATAGTGCTATGGTATTTTTCTCAGGTTCACTAGCTCACATCTCCACATAAGTTGTTTGAACTCAGTCATGTACTCCTCTATTGAGAGGTCGCTCTATTGTAAGTAATGAAGTTTGAATAGAGGTTGCTTTGTTGTAAGTAATGAACTTTGAAAAGCATGACTTCCACGTAATGTGCTTGGAAGTACTTGCATTGCATTTCTCGTTTCATTATTAGAATATTTAGTGATATTTTTTTTTCTTTCCATTGTCGGAAATGCTTCCGGTTCTTCCATCACAGAGACACACTTTTAACTTATTGATAACTAATTTTACCCTTATTTTTAGTGGAATACCATTGTACTCAAAGATTTTTTCTACTAAATGAGTTACTCAACGAGCTCATCTAGGTGCATGTGACGGTGAAAATTCACTTCTACTTCAAAATTTTTGCTTCTCCTAGATATTCAGTGCCAAATCGATGCAACATCGGTTTTTCGTCACTTGAATTTTCTTGGTGAAAGGATTCACTTCTTCCTCTCAATCTGTTGAGTCGTCGTTGTGGCTATAAGTGACTTCTTCGGGTTGTCTTCTCTCAAAGGCGGCAAGATTTTGTTACATTTTGAGGATTTTTTACTGTATGTCCTCCATAGTGAACTCCTGACTTCTTGTTGAGGGGTTCTCCTTGGCGGCATGTGTCTTTTTTCTCAATCAATATTTAAGTTGAAATGAAATTGTGGTTTATGGTTAGGGTTTGGTGAATGATGTGGGGACTTTTTTCTGTTGGGGTATTAGGTAAGATTGTATGGATTTCTCATTTAGAACAAGAAAGACAAATCTGTAAAAATTTACGGTTTATCGAGCTCTGATATCAGATGATACCGTTCTTGAGCTTCTAGAAGGTGTTTAAGAAGTGAATTTTGTGGGAAGGTAGTTGTGGAATGAAATGAAGAGAAGAATAAAGACAGTCAACAGTGTTTGGAAGGTGATAGGTGGCTAAATCTGCCGTTGAATAGCAGATTGTGGCGTAAAACAGGCCGAACAGATGTGCAATGAAGTACGTGCAACAAGGAGTTTCTACCAAATATTTCTTAGCAAGATACATGCACACCGCTTGCAAAAGAAATATGATACAACACTACTTAGAACATAAATCAAAGAATACGCTCTCGCAATTACACAAAAATAAGCTGGCGGTCTCAAAACAACAAAATACACATAAATAACCTCCTAAGAAATAGCAAATAGGAAAAAATCGGTTCAAGAAGAAGAAAAGAAAATACTAAAAATGTAATTCAGTTAGCCTAATATCTCCATGATCACGCTTCCCTCGTTAGACTATTCCATAATCATGGGATCCCCCAACTGTTTAGGGTTGGTTTTATTATTATTTTTCTGTTCTTTATGTTAAGTGTTGCATGTGGTGTCAATTCAAATTAATGCAACTATTTGTTGACATGTTATAGTTCTACTGTTTGTGTTCTGCTTCTTTTATTTTTTATTCCCTTCGTTGTTGATGAGTAATATTTGTAGAACTTTGGCTTCTATTTTGCATGCTTAAATCCCTAAAATTTATTTTATATTGTTATATTCGATCTCCAACTTTTTCTATGTAGTCCTTTCCATGCTGCTTGTTTTATTTCCATCACTTATGCATCTTAACAATGTTCTATTTATATAGCTCAACTTGATTGCTAGTAATTTATTCTCTACATAATGCTTGGATCCTTACGCCTTATGTGGTAAAATTACAGCTTTATAGTATTTTCTTGAGTCTCCAAGCTGTTGCGTACTATATTGATTTTTGGAGATATTCATCCACTGTAATCAATTAATTTTCACTTTAGAGATTTCATCTTTATGAAATATCAACTCATCAAGTAATAAAAAAAAGATGATTTGTTTAAGTGCATTTATTGTATTATAAAAAAATGGAATGTATATATATATATATATATATTTATATCCCCTTTATAATATAATATATCAGATGCACTTAAATTTCTTAGCACTTCATATCACTTGATGAGTTGATGGTTCAAATCTACCAAATTTTATGTGTTCTAAATCTTTTGATCAGTAATCCTCAAGTTATTTATCTTCTAAAAATTTTCTCATATATTTTTTCCTTCTTGTTCAGATATCTCACGTAATAACAAACTCCTAAGTACCTCATCTTGAATATGTTTTATGAACATCTACATAAATCATTGCAAACTATACAAACTTGATGCGGCCCTATTGCAATTGGAAAATCTTTAGATTTTAGTTTATACTTTCAACTTCCCTTTCCATGTTTTATCATGCATCTTTGACAACAGGGAATGCTGCTCTTGTTGTTCTTCCAATTGGTTATTGTCAAGTTCAAATAGTTTTCCCCACCTCATTAAAATTTCTTAGGCAATGCTTATGTTTTTTATTGACCAGGCTTGATGTTCTTGCAGAATGCTATGATAAGTAACTCACTTGAATTAGCAACCATGAAGCAGAAAGAAGCAGATGAGAGAGTCTCAAAGCTTCTTGAAGAACAAAAGGTTTGCATAAATTAAATTTTTGAATCACACATTCCTTAACATATTTTCTAGTGACTAACAATGAAATGAGCAGAGAGAGAAGGATAATTCTATCAGAAGGATACTAGAACTAGAAAAAGAATTAGCTGCAAAACAAAAGCTTGAACTGGAAATTGAACAACTAAGTGGTAAAATTGAAGTCATGAAGCATATGGAAAGTGAAGAAGACTCAATTAAGAAAAGGATGGAAGAGATGCAAGCTGAGCTGAATGAAAAAATTGAAGAGCAACAATATCTGGAGTCTCTTAACACAAGCCTTACCTCCAAACATTTTGAGAGTAACACTGAATTGCAGCATGCTCGGAAGCAATTGATTAAGGCAGGACACCTGTTGTATTTTTTATTTTTTTTATTCCATCTAATCTATCATTGATTTAGATTCTTGGTAGATATAGTATGCTACACCTCTGTGTATGATATATTTTCCTAATGTGTATATAAATATCTACTCCTTATGCCGCTGAATTTATTTTTGCATTCTGTTTCAAAAAAAAAAAAAAAACAGGGATTGAGGGATACAATGAACTCCCGAAATAGGGATTGAGAGATACAATGAACTCCCGAAATGCTAACTTTGGAGTAAGAAGGATGGGTGCACTCGATGCAAAGGTTTTTCAAGCTTTGTGCAACGAAAAGTTTTTGAAAGAAGAAGCTGATGTTAAAGCTACGTTGTTGTGTTCTGAGTGGGAAGAACATTTGAGGAACCCAGACTGGCATCCGTTCAAGGTTATCATGGTTAACAATAAAGAGGAGGTTTGTCTTTTCACTATTTAGAAGATTTTTTATGGTTATGCTGGGTGTTTGATTGTGCGCTCCATATGTGTTGGACTACTATCTTTCTTGGTTAATGTAATTTGCCTAGCATAAATTTTATCTTCTTAGTTTCATGCCTTCAGTGTAGGGTGACAAGCCAAACTCCAACATTTTGGAGTTTTGTTTAATGAGGTTTGTTAGCCGTTGAGCCTAATATGAATGGGCCCAAGTTTTCTTTACAAGCTGAAGATCTTGTTTTTTACTAGTTTATTACCTAGTTTTGAAGAACAATAAACTCAGTTGATGATCATCAAATGATGACAAAAATTTCAATTTTTGCTTTTGCTTGCATTAAATTTTTTTTTGTAATTTTATAATACAATCTTCTTTAAGATTTGTAGAACTTAAAAAATATTTTCTTCCATCATTTGTAATGTATATTTGATGCTTTAAATAGTAAAATGCATAATTAAAATTAGCTGGGCACGCACTCATATTAGATCTTTGAATCTTAATATACCTATTTGATCAATGGTGAACTCACGTTTCAATCCATTATGAACTTATTTCCTAAGTTGTAGTATGTTTGTATCTTTCATTCGAGTATTATCGTGGGCTAAATGTACATGTGATATATACCTGAGCTAATTTATGAAGGTACCATCTCATGTTGAAATTTCTCCATCGTTTATGTTAACAGGCACTCACGAGTGATAAGTCAGCTGCATACACCAAATTTTTCTTAATCAAAACAACTTTGGCCGCGTTTGATTTACCAGGGTGATACTAAATTTGTAGATAATAGTCCTTCATTAACTTAAACTATCTTCTTTTTATTAGATTTAACTTCTTTTGACTGGGCATATATTCTAAACGCTTATGATCGTGAAGGGCTAAACACTTATAACCGAGAAAGAACTCACAACAAATGCCCTAAAGATAATGTCTTCATATTTTAGCTCAAAAATCACTACAACTAGCTCTAGGTCATGCTCGGGGTAATTTTTCTCGTGTGCCTTGTGCTATCTAGAGGTATAAACTACAATTATCATGTCGCATTAGGATCAATGTTTTAAAAGACATTTATGGAGCGCGCCTTTTGAGGAGGAGCAATCCTCACATGCCTTTGACGCTTATAAGCTTAGTTTACGCCCCACGGGGGCATATGCCCCGCTATCAGTTTAAGTAAAAAAGAAATAAAACCCTAATTGTGCAGACATCTCGAAGCATGCATCTCTTCCGTAACAGAAGGTCTCCCGCAGTAGAAGAACCATCTGACATCTCTCTCACACTAGAAGATACGATAGCCCCTTCCTCCCGCAGCAGAAGATCCTGCATCAGCTTCTTGTCGTAGTATCTGCTTCGTATTTTGCACACAGCCTGACTAGCAAAAGATACCACACTCTCACACACATCACCTGCTTCGTCCCTCACGCACAACGTAACTTACAGAAGATCACAAAACATCCCACAGCCACAGTCTCTTGCGAGGAGAGCGTTTGCTTCGTCTAACTCAGTCGGGTCTTGATCTACCTGAAAATTGCATGTTTTTAGTGTACATTTCATGATCATTTTATGTACATTTTTAATGATATTACATTTTAAATGAATTTATTTTGCTTGCTTTTGTCTTCAAGTACAAGAAATGAACTTTTAGTGAAAATGATGCAAAAAATGGTGTTATTTGGAGTCAAATCGAGCAAGAGAAAAATTCTGATCTGACATATTTTAATATGTTTTTCTATGCTTAATCTTCTTTACATTTACCACATATTTTTGAATGGAATTACATTTTAAATAAATGTTATTTCATGTTTATCTTATAGATATATCAATTTAGAGCGCAATGGAGCTGAAACGGAGTTGAAATGATGGAGCTGCTTGCAGGGCGGCACCTAGGCGCCAAAAACTGTTGGAGACGGTTTTGGATGACTTTTGGTGGTTTCAGGATATTTTGGAAGTTTCTAGATGGCTATGCATGCCCCATGGAGTGGTTAAATGAATCTAAACACTTGGAGTGGCTTTTGAATGAAGAGATGTGTCTCTTGGAGTGAAAATGTGTGTCTTTTAGATGAAGAGATGTGTCTGTTGGAAAAATGAGGGGTTTTTGCTTCTCTTAAAATAAAGAGGCTTGACGCCTCTCATGACATGTAATTAGAGGAGTCTAGAGAAAAATTAGGAAGTGTTTTAAGAGGAGTTTAGAGTGAGTTTATAGAGATGTAGATTTCTCCATTCTCTGGAGAGATTGGTGAGGGATTTTGAGAGATATGAGTAAGAAAGTATGAGCAGCGCATGGATCTACAGGAGACTTTGTTGGATAGATTTTTTGTTTTTCTTTCAGAGGGAAAAAACTAAGTATTGTGTACTTCATTATCTTGTAATTATTGTAAACATTTTCTAGTGAATTTTCTTTGATTTAAACAAAATTTTTTGTGGTGTTTTATTCATACTCCGTAAGTAAATTTCTTTACTCTTTTATTTTAATATGAAGTAGTGACATGTGTAGGAAAATTTGTTTCATGATAGAATTATTTTTATTTTTATGTGATGAGTAATCTCCTTCGCTTCATTGACATAACTTAAGTGACAATATGTTATATTAAAATCTGTTGTAAGAGAAACTAAGACTCATGAGAGGGGTGATCTTGCAACTAGAGTGCACTCACATTGTCCGGCTGGCTATTGCTAAATAGTATGGGCGGTAATGCAACTTTTAATTAAATATAATTCATGATCTGTTTCTATTAGAAGCTTCTAGGTGACAGATAGTGCATAAAACCAATAGAATACTAAACATACCTATATGCTCGAAAGAGGGTAAACATATGTTCCTTGTCGACACTTAGTTTATTACGCAATTCTATCAATTCTTTTACTGCTTATGTCATTATCTTCATGTTACTTTTCTTTTGCAATGAATTGGATATATGTTTAGATATTTAGATTTGCTTAGAAATTCTTTTATTTCATAAATGTGATAATATTTTTGCCGGTCATTCATTTACTTTACAAATTGACCACTCATATTGTTAAAACTTGTTGAGTAACTTATAAACCCGAAAGGGCTAAGGTTTCTTCACTTGTAAGTATCATATTCTATCTTTGAAAGAGCAGTCGTGATCGTCCGAAGAGGGGTGCAAATAGTTAGGGAGATAAGATTTGATGAACGTAAAATTAATGTTTCTAAGGTGACAAGCTAGATTCTTTTAGCAATTTGGTCTAGAGATTGAAACTGAGGGTCACTAGTAGGTCCTATAGAGATGACACAGTGAGTAATTTAGAAGTGAGAGACTAGAACTTACCCAACACTACTATACATGCCGCACTAACTTTAGATTAACCAATGTTTTTTACACAATCGAAAAAAGTAAATAATAGGTATGTTCCTATTTGTGACTACAACATTATATTTTAAGCATTTCATTCCTATACATTATCTAGGTCGACGCACGAGAAGTGTAGTCTTTAACATCTCAAAATTCTTTGAATCAAATAATCCAGATTAGTTATCTTTAGAATTAATATTTGTATTTAGGAATAGTTGTTATCCTTTCATTTAATATTTGCATTTAAGAGTAGTTGCCAGATAAAACACAATCTTAATCGACCTTCCAACCTAAAATTTGATAATAGTAGACTATAATTTCTCCTAAGAGTTTTTTTACCTCGTTTCTCTGTGAGATCGATACTCTGAGTTTTAAAAGAAAACCCTAATTACTTGAAACGATACGTATACTTGCGTAGTACCTCTAGTGTGTAAACTATTCTCTAAATTTTATAACATTTTGATTTTGCACATTAGCTGCTAAATATAAATTCGGCTCAAGTTTTGGTCATTTTTTGGAAGCTAAATTACTGCGTAATTGCGGGTCGGGTCAAGTTTTTAGCGTCGTTGCCAGGGAAGCTTCGGTAAGAACTTTAGGAGAATTTTTAGTTGAACCTTTAAAACTTAGATTTGAAAATTTTAGTGTTATTATATAGTATATTTAATTATTGTGTTTATTTTAAAAATATAAGAACATTTAAAAATACCAAAAATATTTTTTAGTGTTTCACAAACTTGATATCTATCCTATTAATTAAGTCTCTAGATTTGTATGTGTAGTTCAGCAGCTGCAAACATTGAATTATACGACTCAGAAATAGAGAACTTTTAGGAGGATTAGGAAATTGAAAAGATCTTCAGAAGCTGTTGTAGAAATGATGAATTACTATGAAGATGATATGCTGAATATTTTAACTTCACTTGTTGTAGATATTTCAAGAAAGTTGGGTCATTATGGGATGTGTCAACATCGAGAACCTCTATTCATTGAAGAAAACTCATTTGGACATTTGGTTGACACTAACTCATTTGAAACTATGCATGAAATAGATAATTACTCTAATAGTCCTTATTTTGATTACTACAAACTAAGCTTGGAGTTTCCTTCCAAATTTAACTGGAATAACAATAATGATGGAGGAAACCAATCATGGGATTACAAACAAGATGATCCTTTAGGTAATCGGAATAATCAGGAAAACTATAACTTTGGAAATTCTTTTCCTTTTGAATTTAACTCTAACCCACCATATGAGGAAAAGGAGATGTCTATAGAAGAGGGTGTTTATCAAATAGAAAGTCAGTTGAAAAGTCAAGGGGTGCTATAAGGAATATAGAAAACCAAGTGGAGCTGATTGTTGACTCAAGTAATATTAATCTTCCAGATATTTTACCTAACGACCCTCAGATAAACCATAAGGAGAATAATGATGAGCATGATAAAATTATCAAACTAAAAATTAGAAGAGAATTGGAGGATATATTTCAAAAGTACCTTGAGTTGAGAAATGAGGAGATGAAAATTGAAAGACCAATGGAAGAAATTCCTAAAGAATTAGAAAAACCTATTTCATCAACCAAGTTAAATATAGAAAGACCTCCTCTTATAGAAAGAGAAAGACCTCCTCTACCATATAATCAGTACCAATGAGATGAATTAGAAGATAACTTGAGA